TTATTGTTGTAAGCCGCCCCGAGGCTTTGGCGAATGGGGCGGCATAAAAATGTTTTAATAAATAAATAAATAAATAAAAACATTGCATAAGGGACAATGTCCCAACCTAAAACACTATTCGCTTGTAGAGGTTTTGGCTTTTGGGACTCTCAGTGCAGCCCCCTGTGTGTTTGCTCCTAAGTCAGTCCCACTGATAGTTCGCTGCCAGGTCCATGGGTACAAGATCACAACTGCAGCAGAAGGAAGGGGGCTCTTGGTGAGGCCAGGCCAGGGGTGGTGCTTCAGAAAGAGCTCTCACCACACTGAGCAAACTCTGGCCACAGGGGAATGGCTCCCTCTCCTCTGGAAGTGTGATGCCAACACAAAACGTTTGTAGCCAAAGAGCAAAGAGGGCTTCCCATCCCAAAAGATGGCACCGCGACTCTGGCCTGGCTTGTTTGCATACCTGTGCATGAGCATTTGTTTTAAGAATGTATGTGCTAAAGGCACTTTGGGGACAGCTTGCAAAGCAAACAAGGCCATTTCAAATAAAATGAATAGCAAAATGATTATGAGAGACAAAGGCCAATAAAACAGCAGACTTGGATGGCCTGGGAAAATAAAGAGGCCTTTGTCTGGCCCAGAACAGACTTCAGAGCAGGCGGCAGGTCGGCCACCCTGTGGAGAGCATTCCATGGGCAGTTTGCCACCGTGCTGCCCTTCAGCTTCCAGCATACCATACTGCGCAAGCAGCTGGTGGATGGCCTCCCAGATGATTGCCCCAGGCAGTCCGACTGTGTTGGAGAAGTGAGGCTGGGGTGGGAACATGCTTCCTGGTGTGAAGGGGCAGATGACCCACCCAGGGCTCCATGGACCACATGGACAGGCGCCCCCTTGGTCCCCTCTGATGTGCTAGCCGGGTGCTGCAGCCGAGCAGTTGGCCAGGGCCCTCTCGGCTGCACATGGGCTCTCGGCATGCACAGGGGAGCCGCCCCCCGATGCTCCAGGTGGAAGCCTGCCTTGCATGTGGGCAGGGCAGGACCAGCTGGGTTTCGCTCTGCGTAGGTTCTCCCTTGTGTGTATGAAGGGAGGTCTCCGGCCCGAGAGAGGACTCCTCGCCCCTTCCTTTCCCCAAGCCCCTGGCAGCTTCCAGGCCAGGGGGTGGAACTTGGGAGCAGAGGGGTGAGGCCACAGAGGATGACCAAGCCTCCATGGGCCCCTTCGTGGCCGCTGCCCCCCCCCCCCGCCACAACAGAGCTCCTGCACGGTGCCCCCCTGTGCTGAAGTGAAGACGTCTGAGTGTGTCGGAGCACACTGAGAGAGAAGCATCACCCCGTTCCGAGCATAACTGTCCCAGCGCCCTCTGTCCCGTGTGAAATGTTCTATACGTCTCTTCCCACGCCCCTTCCCCTGGAATGATCGGCCGCTCGGCCGCCAGAGGGCGCTGCAGCCACAAAGCTGACCAGGCTTTGAACTGGGAGCGGGCCGAGAAAAGCGCCTTTGCCTTCGGTCGGGCTGCTTCACGATCGTCCTTGCGTGGGAAAAGCAGGGACGGCACCCTTTGAACTCTCCTACCAGCCTTACCTGCCTTTGCGGTTCTCTCCTCCCTGCGAAGAACAAACGGTGCAGTTAATGATTAATCAGGTATTCTTCGCTGAGAAAACAGCTCTCGGAAATGACCGAGAAAAGCCTTGACTTCACCACAACTCGCAACTGGCAGAAGGGATCAGAGGCAGTCTTGCCACAGGGATTCGATGGAGGCCGCCGTGGGCCTGAACCCCGTGGGAAAGGCTCGCCCCCTGAAGCCAGTCCACTCCCGACTGGCCTCGCAACGCTCGCTCGTGCTCCAGTCAGGCTTAGAATTTACATTCCACCCTAAAAATAATTTCAAATGAATCAATAATAGAAATATAGTGATGAATTGGGCTAACTGCTGGCAATGCAATGCTTTTAAGCATAACTTTTGGCAATGCTCAGTAGCTGTCTGTTTGGGGAGGGGGTGATTGTCGGATAAACATTTTTCGCCGCAGCAATTTAAAAGAGATTTGCAAATAGACACGTTCTCATAAACAAACCGCTTGCTTCTTGTTCGGTGCAAGCAGGTGCTTTGTCCTCTTCTGACAGTTAAAAAAATTATATAACAATACTGGAAGGATAAATGTTCATTTTCTGTAAAGCAGCAGATTGAGCATTTTATAGTGCTTTCAGTATCGAAATGAGCAGGTGTGGAGAGGCCAGCTTTGAATTCTTATATGGATATTTATTTATTTATTGTGATATTTATATGCCATCTTATTGCAAAAGCCTCAGGACAGCTTACATAAATAAAATACAAATATCAATATACATAAATTATAACAAAATATCAACATAAACAAATCAACCCACTCTGGCTGCAGATAGTTTGTTTGTGTTCATGTAAGAAATGAGAAAGCTGTATTTTCATTCATATACACACACACACACACACACACACATATATCTATATATGCATTTCATATATATTCACTGATGCAGATATATACAAATCTATGTGTGTCTATCTTAAAAAAAACTTGGGGAGAAATAAAGATAAGCTTTTACAAAGTTTGAGGCACTTGACAACTCAGCAATCCACACAAGAGCCCTTCAAGGTAGGCCTGTATTCTTAATCCCAGCTTGCTGATGCACAAGGAGCCGAGCAAGGGGAGCTAAGAGAACAGTAGGTAAGCCAGCAGTGAGTCTGTGGCAGAGGAGGGCAGACCAGCTCTGAAAGGGCTGCATGCAGGACAAGCTCCCTTGACAAATCATTTGCCTTCGCCCCATTGCCGGACCACTGTGGCTACTTGGAAGAAGTCCGGCTCTCTTTGCATACTCAAAGGGCTTGCCTCAGTTAGCACTGACCACCGTATACTATGCCGTCCCAATTGCACTGACACGAAAGTTAACCTCCACCAAAAGCGCTGGAGTTACAGCAACCGCAATTTCACCATTGCATCAACCAGAAATATTGAAAGGAGCTGGAATGCACTGGCGGTCCTCCTTCAGGAGTCCAGCATGGGGGCAAACTTCCTCCTTTCCACCCCACCCGCCTCTTTCCCGCCTCTCCCCACGTATGTTCTGGTGCTGTGCGGAAGGTCCATTGGGCCGCAGTCCCTGTACTGACTTCCCTGAGACTGAGCCCCATTAAGCTCAGTGGCGCTTACTCATGAGTAGACACATACAGCATGTTCTGTTGGTCCACTTCATCTGCACATTTCGATAATTCTTACAACAGCCATGTGAAGTAGGCGGCTCTCATTTTGCCGATATTTTAGATCCCGGGCTTGGAGATGGTCAAATGGGAACAGTAGTTTCCCAAATCTTTGGTCTTAACACAACGCTGATCTGTCTCAGATGCTTAGGGGGCACCTCAGCCACATTTCAGAGAGGAATGCTATTCATTTTCAGGGCTGTGAAAGAAGCACTTTGCATGTGCTCAGAGATACAGTCATCTGCATATATGTGGTTTGGGCTTGAATTCTGTTCCAGATCAAGCTCTGGATAGTTTCCTCAGTTCCGAACTCAGGTTAATTTGTCGTGCAAGCTGTGCGCACCACTAGGCCCCCTCAAATGGTTCCCGAAAGGCACCTTCTTCTGGGAGCGATGTGGCAGGTGCAGGGCAAAAGAGGAGAGCCCGTGTGTCTCCCGCAGTCCCGATCTCGCCGGGGAGACTGGCCGCACCTGCTTCTCTCCTTTCCCCTGCGCAAGAAACTCTAGAGGCGTGGCGGAACGGGGCAAAGTTCCTGGCTCCCCTTCACTGAGGAGCGACTGCGAGGAGAGACGGAGCGAGGAGTCGAGCAAGGCGCCTCTCTCCCCACTCGCGAACTCGCCTTAGGCAGGCCGCTCCCTCCGAGCCTCGCCTGCGCGCCGCGACGCGGGTGGCAGCAGCGCCGACCTGCCCGGCCGCGCCGTGAGAGCGGGAGACGCA